AGAGTTATAACGCAAGTTCCACATACATAGATGGGAAACTGTCACAAATAATGATGGAAAGTAGGGAAAACCCGTACAAAACCGTACACTTAACGTTCGAATTACAACTTTGTAATTTGTAAAACAAATTGTGTAATCAAAACTGTATTTATTAAATGCTTTCATAATGAACAAAAAATAACAGAATTATTTAATTTAAAGTTAATTTAAATTAACAACGATAACATTGAAAATGATCAAGTTCTTCTGGTACCCAACCGGTACCCAATCTTCTTGCAAACGACTTATTCTTCGCTATATTCTTCTTGACAATGTATACAAATATCATCAACTCCAGATTTATTTAATTTAATTATTTTCCTCCCCAATTCTTGTTTTTTGCTTTTCTTTTAGTAGGTTTTCATTAATAAGTACGCGGCATCTTACGAACACCCTTAAACAGAAATGAAATACTAAGTATATAGGTACTTAACTAACTTAAATAGATGTCCAGGTTATGCCCCAGGACGCATGAACACAATCTTTTCTTTATAATTACATATAAAGATGAAATGACCGGTAACAATTTTCGAAATACAATGTTAATAGATACTGGTAAATATTGTCATGTAACTTACTTACTGATTTTCAAAACACTATTGTGGAGTTTTGAAAACAGTCGAGTATAAGAACAGAATACTTAAAAACACAATAAACGTGATAATTCTTTAGAATGTACTCGGTTTATAACAAAACACTGTTGACGGACACTTCAATATAGCAGAAAACAATTGCAAAATGGTTGGGAAATTTTTTCAATTAGTTACGGAAATACTGAAGTATGATATACGGTTTTGTACAGGTTTCCCCTACATACTTTGTAGTAAGTATTTACATAAAATAGTAAGCACTTGAAACTCTTTGACATTTAACATTTGAATCGTTTATTATGAAACTGGTGTAAGTCCATTTTTGGAGAAAATCGAGAAAGCAAAGAATTTACATATATTTTAGTTTAGTGTGAACTTCTTATTTTTAGACAATTTACAGTTTACATTTTAAAATATCCATATGCTTTGATCAACTGAAAATTCGTTAGCAAATAATATTGAATTATTGTCATTACACTCACATTCGTATTCTTTTTTGCCTAATAAAATTGTCCTTTTCGTAATGAAAGTGTCAGATGTTTTGATATTACGTTGCTGCATAAATTTTGTCTGCTAGAGTAGGAATGTCTTCTATAAATTCGATTTTTGAAAAAAAAAAAGAAAGTAATGAAATGCACAGATTTTCAAAAGAATGCTAAGTGTCAATCCATGTCTCTGTGGATCATGAAAGAAAGATTTGTAATCATCAAAACGTATATTACAAGTGCAATATTATTCAGAATTAGATACTCAAGTGTAAATGTATCCATATACAAATTTTTTCTAGAGTAGAAAGTAAAATCTTGGAAATCGAGCCTTGTACGAAAAAATTTGATTTCCACTTTCGGCTTATTTTTACACGTAAACTCATATATCCGGCTGTACCTACCTACTACCGATCGAGCCACATCCTGTATGGCAGTCATATTGTATATGCTAGAAGCTGTTTTGTATTTCACGTCAATACGATCGGAACTATATGGAATTTCAAATTTGAATATTTTTAAACAACCGAAAGAGAATTACTAGTAAGTATCTAACTTAATAACTAACGTTTTTCTTATATTGGTGGTTATTCTAGCAAATATAATGGAATGTAAAGCATGTCTTATATTTTCTATGTATACAGAAGTTGCAAAAAAAGTTGTAGAATTTTATCGATGTTAAAATTCAACTAAATCCTAGAAAGGAATGAATTTTGTGTATTGAATTTCTTACAAAACATCCCAATTTATGCATTTCGTTAATCTCTCTCGTTTCGTGAATGTTGAGTCGAATTATCGCAAGATATCGAAAGCTCCCTAGAGCTCTGTTCTCCACCTTTGTTCCTCAATGGCGATGTTCTAATCTGCAAAGCAACGAATTGTTGAACATAGCATGAAAATATCGAGAAATTGAATGAAATGTAAAAAGTAGGTAAAGTATCAGCATGCATGAAAGAGCACCGCATATTATACGTCCTAATTAGTTTCAAACTCTTCAAATTTCGAATAGCTTCGACAATTATTTGAACTTAAAAGCGTTTTAATCTGTCGAAGATCTCGGACACTGACGAACTTAGCAAAAATTAAAAAATTGAAAAACAAAAAACATTAAGATACTTTTCTGAAGGAAAGAAATTTCAAAGCCTAGATGTGATAAAAGAATAGCTTTAATAATTATTCGTTTTTATTTCGCTTTAATAATTAAGAGCGTTTGAATTTGTTGAAGATCTCGAACACTTTAGCGAACTTAACAAAAATTAAAAAATTAAAAAACATAAAGCATTAAGATAAGCTTCGGAAGGAAAGAAGTTTCCAAGCCTAAAAATGATAAAAAAGTAGTTTTGACAATTATTCGAATTTAAACCAGTTCGCATCTGTTGAAGATTTCGAAATAGGTACTTCAGCGAACTTAAAAATAGAGAATAATATTGAAGGTCTTAAGGGCTATAAAATATTAAAATAGTCTTCTGAAGGAAAGAAATTTCCAGGCCTAGAAATTACAAAAAAAAATCAATAAGAACATTAAAGTTATTAATAGCTTGTTCAAGACGATGAAAATTGTGCAGAAAAAATAGAGCTTGTATTAAGGAAGAAAAGACGAAGCTTTTTCTGAAGAATAATGTCTAATTTTTCGCTTCTTTGTAGAAAGTTGTTCCAATCATTTTTATCAATAGCAATTATCATCGTTTAACACGTTGAAATTTTTATTTTAATATATAACATTCCTTTTCATCAGTTATGATGAGATTTTAGATTATTCATTGACGTCGATTTTTCTACAAATTTCCTTGGTTATAAACATTTTGTTTAGCAAAGAATTTCATTGTATAAGATTCCACCATTCAGTGGAGGTGGAGTCATTTACTGCATAAGTGCGGTAAAACTATATCAAGTTTACCAGATTATTGTTACTAATTTAAATACCCTATAATTTAAATACCCAAACAAATGTTCATTTAGTTTGTAACTTACGGAAACATTCAGAAAATAATTTAGATCTTTGTAGGAATCTTGTATAGAATATATTTTCAAAACGAATCCAACATTTCTCTACTACAGAATGTACCTGTTTTTTCCCTTTCTAACACTCCAGAATTGTTCATTTTAAAATACCCAAAAATAATCAAATTTCTTCTATTAGTTACTTAAAAAATTAGACTAACATTTAAAAAGATTTCATTATTATTTATAATGAAATTATTTGGAAAGTTGCAGAAGAAGAGAATTGAACGCCCATCACAGGGGTAGGTGGCCGCGTGCGAATTCCCTCTCTTCGACTCCACATGGAGAACAATATCTGGCCCTGGGGGCATAACGTACCCCGTTCCCCGCCCATCTTGTCGATCTAACCGACCACGCTGCCCTCCTCCTCCTCCTCCTCCTCCCCACTCTCTGACCCTGATTCCATCCCGTGATCAGCTTGTCTTTTTCCCTCTTCCCTTTGTCCAGCTCATTCCGGACAATTGCCTCTTTCTCCCTCTCTCGTTCCGCTACCTCTTTGCTATCTATACAGCTCGCTCGTTTGCCCACTCTTTCTCCTTTACTCCAACTCCGCTGCCTCACCCCCACCTTCGCTGTTTCCCCTACCATGTCGCCGAACTACCTACCAGATCGCTCGTTCACTGTGCTCGCGATCTCCCTCTTGCTTTCTCTTTCACACGTTCGGTTGGTCGGTTAGTTCATTTCGCTCGCTCAGCCGCGATCCTTCTTTCTTGTACGCGTTTCGTTGCTCGTCGTCTTATCTTTGTCGCTCTCGAACACACGGAGGCAGGCGCCACGAATTGACTTCTCGCCATTTCGGCTTCGCTCGGTCAGTTCCGGCTGCCGGCCAGAAGAATAAGTTAGTATTCGCCGTGCTGCCTTGCCGGCAAGTTGCATGCAGGAGGAAGGTGATTTAATTCCTGTAGTAACCACGAGTGCGCGTGTCTGATATGGCGACACGTTCAGAGAGTATGTACAACGTGTACGCTGAACGTTCCCCACATTGTCAGTGTGAACCAAGGTTATTCAAATCAGTTCGATTGTGCGCTAGAAGTACACGAAGCTGTAACGTTCGAGTGTTCGTCGCATTTCGATCGTCTTGATCTATTCGATCTATTCCGGGGGGAAATGTACGTTAAGTAAAGAAACGACGGAGGTGTTGAATCCTGGAAAGTATCAGGAAAACAGCACAACCAGGGAACATCGATGAAAAATAGGAAGAAAGACGATCGTTTTCGAGCAGATAGGATACAGAGGGTCACCGTTTCGATCTTTGGATTTTTGTCGACGAACTCCGTGCGATATTGTGCAGAAAAAGCGACGCGTCACGATCACTCATCTCGACCAACGAAAAGTTTTTACAAAAGCGTGCCGCGTTCGAATCGTGAAACAACAAAGACAAAGATTCTCTCCTCGCAGTGGGCCAAGTTCTCTATCAAAACATGGCCACGTGACCGACGGCGTGGCTTGTAAACAGTGAGTTTGACCACGTGGTCTGCCCCTTCTCCCGTTGGCATCCTTCTCTCTTGCACTCGTCCTGTTTTTCTGTTTCTCTCTCGCTTGCTCACGACACGCAGAGCAACGTACAGCGTATTCTCGGTCGGTCCGCTGCCAGTTGCGGGAGAGTTCGATTCGGGTGATCCGCGATACTCTGGCTTTCCTCGTATATATAGATCTTCTTTGTCTCGTCTTGTTAATTTTTCAAGGGATATTTTCGCGTGTGCGAGATACGGTTCACGCACTATTTGTTGACAATTGTGTATCGCGGAGAAGAAGACCAGAGACTAGCGCGGGCGTATAATAACGCGTGGCTGTTACCGAGAAAAGCGACCCCAGTTGTAGTTTCAACTCGTTAATACTGACGTAGTGCTGTTAACGCCATAGAAGTTACCAGTGTTAGCAAATATCGCGGGTCTCGATCGCAGCGCGGTATCAACTGTTACGGCGACCTTTCGCGTTTCTTCGCTAGACAGTGCGATATCTGTGACGGAGGAGCACCTCGCGAGGTGCTCGCGGTCAAAGTGGAGTACATGGATGAAACGAACATGATGGACTCGGTGCCGGTTTCTGTGTCGGGGTCGAAGACCGGGTTGCAACCACAGCAGGGGGTACCATACGACCTTGAGAGCGGGTTCGAGCCTCAGACTAGAGCACGGTCGCACACGTGGCCGCTGCCAAGGCCGGAGGAGGAATATATCGAGGGGAACGTGGTGCCGAACGTATCGGTTAGTAAAGAGGGCGTTAAAGGCGTCGAAAGTGGTACGCCGCCTCAGCATGGCTCTCTGAGCCAAGGTACCGGCTTGCTTCCGGTCAAGAAGAATTCCTCGCGACGAAATCCGTGGGGAAACCAAAGTTATGCTGATCTCATAACTCAAGCCATTACAAGTGCCCCTGATGAACGGTTGACTCTATCTCAGATCTACGAGTGGATGATGCAAAATATCACTTACTTCAGGGAGAAGGGAGAAAGCAACAGCAGTGCTGGATGGAAGGTGAGTTTATACTCTTTTTTTTCCTTCTCGTTTCTGTCTTACGGAGTAACAGGTTTTTTTTTTTATCATGGACACGTGTTTGAATGCATTAAGCATAGGACGTATTATCTTTCATGATATAATACGTTCTTTTTACGCGTAATTATTACGAAGTTTACGAATACGGTTGAAGTGATTCGTTTAAACTGATGCGTAACCAATGATCAATGTGCACCTGGACATTCGTAGAACATTCCATTCCGTCTCGCGGTGTGATCACGTTTTGTATGTATCTTTTTAACTCTGGAAAATTGACGCACGTGACGAAGGGAACCTCGTTGCGTCATTTGTCAATATTTTGCGTTTGCCTACTGAAATTTGATTATTATTATATTTGCACTATCGTGAGTAGGTGATATTGTGCATTGCTTTCGAGTTAATCGAATAGTAATTATGTTATACGTGTATCAGAGTAACGTGGGGAAATATTTATGATTGAGAAACAGCGCATGTTAAACTGTTCTTTCTGTAACAAATACATACTTGTTCTATTATTTCTCGTAGGTAATTAGAAATATTTATTTTTGCTGTCGAGTAATTAACAGCTTTTCCGTGATTTTGCCATTTTTATTTGCGCGGTTAGGCCTGCAACTGGGAAGAGGGAGGAAGAAAGAGAAAGGCGGCAGCTAAACGTTTTAAATCTTTCGACGTGTGGAATAGAGGATAGTGGATACAGAATATTCGCGGCATGTAAAAGAGTAGCGATAGAATAAAGGGAACTGGTTTTTGTGTGTTCAACTTTTATCCGCTTCATTTTTATACGTTCCTTCTGCATTATGTCGTCCTTTTTCTTTTCAATCGAGTCGCCATTAAAAATATTATTCTTCATTTTTATACGTTTCTTCTGCATTATGTTGTGTTTCTTTTTCTTTCTTTTTTCAATTGCGTTCCTGTAAAATATTTCTGCACGGAGTTTTGTTCTGCGTGGAAAACGCGGCCTTCACAAGCAGGAGAATTTCACGCGGTCGCTTTCTCGTCGTTTGAGAATCGAAATTCCCGTTCGAATTCAACGGGTATAAGTAATGAATAAAAAAAAAAAATACATCGCGAGATCTTGATTGAGCCAGCAGCGTGCACTCTTTTCACGTGTATATTAGCGTAACCATGGTCTGATTTCTAACGATGCGCGTGCATCATCTCTGCTCATCGGAATTTAAAAAAAGCATGCTATCGATTTACGCGGTTTAACAGTTGGCGAAGTTAACTTTTCCCGCGTGGTTACTTTTCCCTCAAAGCGGACCACTTTTGTGAGTTGTTCTGAAATCGAGGGATATAAAACGCCTCCCCAGTAAACAGCCAAGCTTTGTTGCCGATCATAGCGATTCCAGTGATAATGTTCATACACGTATGGATATTAACGCGTAACGCAGATTTACCTACTTTTATTTTTGCTCAAACGAGGACAAAGATTCGTCTTGAAAAGGTTTGAAACAATTGAGAGGTCCAGTCCAAGAAGGAGCTATACCACAATAGTAACGTTGTAAGATATTAAGGCTTTTATGAAAAGTAGTGTTTCAATAGATATTGCACGATTAAACTGCTATTTCTTTATTTAAACTTATTAATATGAAGGTAGTGTGTCTGGGGAGATGTTTTATTTTTTATTGTATTTTCTGTATGTTTCAATCTGAAAATGGCGCTAAAAACGAAGCTTTGCAAAAACTGTTTTTATTACAAAATATTTTATTTAGGACTATTTTACTTGAGGAAACATATGTTTTTATACATTTTACTTGCATTGAAGTGTATGGGAAAATTCTGAAGGTGAAATCTCATTTTTCAACATTTTGTGGCATAGCACCTTAATTGATCAAGGGTAAAATATGAAGAACACAAGTTTGCTGTAGACAGTGTAAAGATTCATACCTTTCTCCTTCATATTTTTTTATAAATTAGTTACCAAAAGTTTGCCCCCGATTTAAAAAATATCTGTTAATCTTTATAAGCTATTAAAATCTTTTATAAGCTATTTATTCCTTCATTTAACAAAAGTCGCAGAAACATAAATTTAAACGAATATCATGAATTATAATATAGTACAAACTTTTTAGAAATTATTAATAAAATGTTTGCTTCATAATAGGGTAATAATAAAATTTCGTGTAAAATAAAAATTGCGGTGTTTGCTTCTCGGAATCTTGGATTTGAGAGCAAGACAAGGAAACTCAGCGTAGTTTACTCATTAATTCAATAATAATTATGGAAACCCGAATTACAATGAATAATGCAAACGATAACATTTCACTTAACTGCGAGCAAAAAATTATCCACTGAGAACTTTGCATCGTGTTTTGTTAATTTACTATTAATTACCAAGAATATACACATACCTAAATATAATTTAACCAACGCTATCGTTCCATGAAATTTTCACGAGAATAATTAGAATAGTTTGCTCCTACTATCTCACTGATTCTATAATATAGAAATGAAAATAACACAATAACAATTCGTTTCAATTCGTAGTAAAAGCACACGCGTGGTCTACATTACAACAATAAAATAAGAAAGTAAACAATTCGAAGAATTTCTGCTGGTGAATTTCGTTCCGGAAGATTTATTAACGTGTTACGTGAAAACGCGGAGTAAAGGGTCCGGCAAAAATATCTGACGGTCTGCTCACGTGGTTGTAGCTCGTTTACCGCGTTTTCATATCATGCGTGGTCAGTTATCAGTTTACATCGTAAGTTCGTTGGAATAAGAATACGATTCCGTTTTTCTATTAATCTAGGCACACGTGGTTGACTTGTATATTATTGGTTATATTTGAAGAAAAAATCCGACCTTTTTGCCGAACCCTGTATCTACGAGTGTAAACGTGAATACATTGCATTGACAACGGAAAGATGTGCTGTGTGCAGAAACGTCGGATGTTGAGGTTGAGAAGGTGAACGAAAGGCCGGTTGCGAAAAATCCGTTTAGCTACAGCTGCGAAGTTCAGATGCAAGGCGTGAGCCACAGTGCAACCACGTGGTGTCTGTGTACAGATATTTGCATCTCCGGTGTGTGTTTTCTACGCATTGCTGGCCACGTGTATGCGTGAGAGTATAAATAAACGAGAATAGTGGGTATTATCTGTGCGACGTGCATAACTATTGTATACGTCGGCCGTGGTTCTGAGATTGAGACCGAGCCTTTCAACATTTATCGCTGGTTGCACAGTTTCTCCATTTCGCGGGGAAACTTTCGATACTCTTAAACCCTGTTAGATACACACTTATTCCACTGTAGGGAACCAAGTTCGAAGCAATTTTTCGTAAGTGACGCGTATTAGAGGTTCTTCCGCAAACATTATTACGCGATACTATATTCACTTGATTATTTTCTTTTATCGAAAGTAGGAGAAGATGGGAACACTTTGTTCACGACTCGTGCTGTATTAAAAAGTTCTTCAGTCGGCACTAACCATAGACAAATTTTTTTATGCAAGAAAGAGTAAGAAATTAATATTGTAATACTAAATATTTGTAGCGTTAAAAACTTCTTAAGTATACAAATATTTCTTTTATCTTTAGTATTACAGTATTTATTTTGTTGCTCTTTTTTGTGTAAAGAAATGTTCATTTTAATGTCAGGCTATTTGAAGCATTTAAACTACCACTTGAGTGATTCTTTATTGTTTAGTAAGGTGTATGACATGTTAAAAGAATTAATGTAGATTGGGTAGTCAGTATTGTCGTGTTTAAAGCACAACATTTCCTTCGTTTTTGAAGTTTTTTGTTGACAAACATGATTTTTCTGTTTCTTGTTTGTACACTATATTAATAATAATCGGACCACACTGCGTTTCTTCAAATGGTTTTTAAGCTCTTCATACATGTTCAATTTTTCATTTAGTATCATTAAATGTAATTTCAGCGTATAAGTAGGTATCTACTTCTTCTAATGTATCTTAATTGTAATTAAACGAACCGTGAATGACTAGTACAAGGTGCTGGTATTTAACTTATGATGTATAGTTAGGTAGAGTATTAAGAAATGTAAGTTTTTAATCATAGTCACTCATTACCTCGTTATGTGAATTCATTTCTTAGGCAGAAATTCAGTCTATTCAGAATATATTTGAAAATGAGTACAAATTTTAGCAAATAATATTTTATGTGTAATACAAATATTGCAATAAAATTATATAATTCCTCAGTAAAATAAAAATTACTGCGTGTAAGCATTGGTAATTCTAACGACGAGTTAACTCGCTCCTCCAGATAAAAGGTTAAACGTGGTAGTATTTCATAAAAATTTCATTTCCTTCCAAAACTGCACGTAAAACATAAAGTTATCTACGTTTACGTTCTTCGGTGAATATTTCTTTTAATGCTCTGAACATCAAAGTATCTTAACGACGCGTTGTTACTGTACTTGCATTCTAAAAAAAAACTGTGACTTGTGCAATGAAAAAAAGTTACCTTGATTTTAAGAATTTTTATGAAATGCGTTGTGGAATGTTGATTAACATTATTCATTCAAATGAATCTCTAAACGACTTAATTAGAACTCTCGTATTTTAAAGGAGGCTTAACACATTTAAACTGCTATAAGCGTTCGAATCCGGCCAATGAAATTAGGAGCTGCAGATGCACGTCGCGACATACGTTCGCATGATGTTTCAGTAGATACCCATATCGCAGTCCATTGCACGTCAAATTGTACAGAATAGCGATCATAGTGACAGATTTTTTTTTCAAACTCGCAGGATTCGTTGACAATCTTAAGAAACTAAACTGTGTAAAATTTCAGCTTTCTATCTCAAACAGTCTTCGAGATATATGATGTTAAAGCTTCGAAAAATTCGACGAAATCAGTCTGACTCGAAAAACGAGAAACGCCGTATTCGACCCTAAGTAGGTGTTACTACATCAATCGGCGTCGCTACTTAACCCTTTATCTACTACGCGCCACTATAGTGCCCTCGCGCTAAATCATTTCTTGGGACGAAACGCCACTATAGTGGCTTCCCTTTG